GATAAAAAAGCATTAATCATCTAATCCTGCGAAGACGTCAACCGTGACAACGGATACGAACTCTGCCACAAGTTGGATGATCCTCGTCACCCCTGTCGCCCAAAACTATTTCACCAACAGCATGGACCGAAAGCTTGCCTTCTGGCTCTGAAACTATCGACTATTGCAGACGACAAACCACATTAACGAAGCTTCACCACCAATCTCCCTTGAATAAATTCCGTGAGACACAGACCGAAATGTCGATAATCATTAATCACTGGACTGCCATAGTAACTTTTGCGTTATAAATAAATATAACGTGTTTTACGCAATTTTTCATACAAAGCAAATATTTCTAACCCTGAACAAGGGCAGAGTTTGGTTTGAAATGTTGATCTGTTGAAAAATTGCGTAGCAGAGAGTTCAGAGAGCCATCTTCATCTTTTGCATAAATAAATCATGTACCACGATGAATGTTAAATTTTAAAAAACTAAAGAAACTACAAAACAGTCAAGGTATAAGATAACTGCAGATTAAAAAACAGTGGTAATAAAAAAGTGGTGACAATTACCGCGACATCCGTTGCTTTATATGACATATTGACGATATCACTGATGTCCGGCTTACTGCTGTCTGAATCGTAACTTTTCCACTGCTTTGCCTTCAAATAACTAATTAGTCACGAAACGCGTCTAACGGGATCACCGGTGAATGACACAAGGCCTCGTTCGTTTATACTTATAAACATAACAAACGGGGACGGAAGCCTAAATGAGTATAAACCGTAATCGATTCATTGCCTTTCCATTCACCAATGTTCCCATACAAATTCACACAGGCGTCAGTCTCGGTTTGCCCCTGCGTCCGCCAGCAGACCGCATTTCAGATATGGCCTCAATTGTTTCTATATCGTCATCACTGTATTCGCTGTCAGCTAAATTAGACTTTCATTGAACGACATGAAACGTCATAAAGAAAAAACAATCATACGACTGGCACGTCTACGGCGATGACTGCTTTGTGTTATCTTGGAAAGTTTCTTGAACTTTACCACGGGTGCATTGGTTTGACCCTCCATGAATTACCGAAGTTTTTCAGCAGTAGATCTACAAAAGCGAAGGAATGCAAAATATACTCTACGTAAGTCAAATTTATGAGCTACTTCCGAGATGCATCACCACCATGTCGTGCATGATCATCTGAACGGTTACAACTTTTGATTTTATGGTTAGCAGCACGAGAAAAAAAACAGCGTTTATCCAACAAATCCCCGTTCAGTAAATTAGATGGAATAGACAGACTTTCGTCTGAGTTTGATAAGACAACCAAGAAATCAACAGGTACATCTGTTCAGATGCATACTTTGCTAAGGAGTCATGAACAAAAAAATGCGAGACTTTGCCATTGGAAAACAACTCACTTTACAAAACAAAATAACTACAAACAATAAGGTCTGGATCAGAAGGAGTCATTCGCGTAAGAAAATATACTGACGCTTATGCGGTAGCATATAAGGAACACCAGATCGTGAAAAATCGTTCTTGATGAGGTCTAGACTGCTCCAGCGAATAAATTGATGCCAGATTCATCTAGCACTGCAGGTGGTCAAGTACTATGGAGCCGCGGCCTACTTAAATACCCCCTAGGAAACCAGGAACAAGACCACTGTGCAATACACCATAAAATCTGGTTTTGGAGGAATCATTATTCATTTCATATACTCGGAGTACGAAGAGCTTATGATGATCTTCGCATATCCTTGAATAGTAAATTTAAATCCAACATTTATTAAAAATTACGACAATGTTTTCAAAACAATTACTGGAAAAGCTGGGCTTACTAAAGTTTCAAGCTGGATTAGATTACAGACCACTTTGTCGGTTAATCATTTGCAATTTATATCATCTTTCTCCTAGCAAGTTCCTTTTAACAGAGGTCACCTATCGAGTCAACCTCTTCAAAACTTCGCTGTTCATGGTTAAACCTTCAGTGACTCCTTGCAACTTCATATCTTTCCTGATGACATCACAAGAGTTCCCTTGGTCTTCCCCTCGTTTTCTTTCCTTGGTCAGCATCAGTGCTTGGATCAAAGCCAAATTGGTTCCTGGTGATGTCGACCTCCTTACTCAGTATTTTGTCCAACACCCTGTCATATATCGTCATGGAATGACTAAGCAGTTTAATTACCCGGCAGTTTTCACAGGCGTGTCCGCTTTCATTTTGTGCACTGGCATCAAAATATTCTGCCTCCATAACTCTGGCATTTTCTCACATTCCATAATTTTGTTGAATAGCGCGCAGAGCCAAATCACGCCTTCTTGCCCCAGAACTTTCCATGTTTCTATTGGAACTCCGTCCGGGCCAAGGGCCTTTTTATTTTTCATTCCGCTCAAGACTTGTTCCACTTCCTCTGTTGAGATTTCATCGACTAGACCCTGGTTTGTGGGAGCTCTTCCTTGTCCTCTTTGTCATGTTCTTCGTCTAGTAACGTTTGGTTCCAAATATTTTTCTCACTGGTCAGCACCATTCAGCTTTCGTCCTTTATGCACTTCACTTTACCAGGGTTTCCTGCTCTTCGTACTCCGGCTTTTGCTGTTTGATGATGTCTTTCTTCCCTCCCTTCGTTTCCCATAAACTTGTGCTGAAGACGACATGCTTTGTCCCCTCTTCAGTCTAGCATATTTTACTGTTTTCCATGCTGTTTGATAGTCACCATTGTTTGAACAGCTCTTCTGTCGTAGGGTCAGCTGAACGTCCGCATTCCACCGCCACGTTTCTTTCTGGATATGCCGTTTGTTTCTTTTGTTTCTCCGACTACGCCTCTGACATTCCCTATGATCATGTTGGCCATCCGCTGCCACACTTCGTCCACTTTCTTATTCCAGTCTTTCTTCGTCATTTTTATCGTAACTTCCATTTCAAACGCTTCTTCCAGCTTCCCTTCGAGCTTCTACCACCGTATCTCCAGTGATGCCGTTGCGCCCACAGACTTAATGGACTGTTTCAGAGAGAAATCTAAAACTATAGCCAGTGCTAGATTGTGACAGTTTTCTCGGGGATAATCTTGCAATCTCTGACGTTCTGAAGTTCGTCCCTTTTGAGTAAAAAGTAATCGATCTGACTTTCCTTTTGCTTGCTCTTGTAGGTTAGCAGGTGGTTTTCTCTTTTCTAGAATGTGTTCATCAGAGCCGGATCATATGTAACTCTTCAGATGTTCTCTCCTTTATTTAGTATACCATGCCCTTGTCCGCCATGAATAATGTCGTAACCCTTTTGATGTTTCCCGACGTGCCCATTAAGGTCACACCCCGATTATCGCTTTTTCGTTTCGCGGTATTTTTTTGCAGTGCAATGTCTAGGCTCTTCCAGAATGTCGACTTTTCGGCTTCATTCTATCGAATCTGAGGGGCATAGGCACTAATCATATTTAAGATACCACTCCAGAGATAGTTTAACGCCCATGATTGTCGTTAATTCGGTTGACTCGAATACTCTGTTTTTGTTTGCTTCATTGAATACCACTCGTTACTTCTGTTTGATATTCAACAACAAATGAGTTTATACCTAAGATCAATCTCTTTTGACTTCTCATCTTTCTATTTCGTCTCCTTAATACAAGCGCTTTAAACTTTCAAAGTGGCCATCCGCATTTTCTCGCTTCGTTTTCGACATTTCCATCTCTGCCTTTGCAATCACCGTCGTCGCAAGAACTGCCACTCTAGTTCATTTCTGACAACCACCGGGATTTGCTGCTGCGCGTCGCCTATGGGGAACGCCCTAGAATTCTTTCTAGAGGTACGTTGACTCACATTTTTCTTTGACAATGGTTTTTAAGGCTGGCCACCTGCCTGACGCCAGTGTGTCTTTGTCATCCTGGCTACGGCTCCTTTGAGTTATCAGCGTGCTTATTTGACGGTGGCATGTACTCGCCATGTTGCCGTCGGGCATTGCGGTATTTTCTGGAGCCAAGTTAGTCAGAAGTTGGCTTCCGCACCCCCGTAGAATTGTCGTAACATTGTCTGAGACTGCTTACTTGTCAAGTTCTCCGATCAGGTAACCTTCGTATATGAGGGGCATACGAATATCCGCAATTTTTGGACGCATTCTGCAGCATCTGACCTTTCTTCGATACTTGTATTGAACGAAAAGGCAATTTATAACACGAGAGTTGAAATACAAAACTTATTTTTATTTTATACAAAAATGTAAAAAATCCATATATATCCACAATACGCAATCCAAACAAATGAAACCTCCAGTTTAACTTTGCCTATACCTGAAAATGCTATTCCTATCGAAGAATAACAGTATTTTAGCATAATCGCGCAGGTTACTCAAATTATTCCACAATAATCAAAACAGGCGTTCTTTATAATGCATCCTTAGAGTGCTGGCCATGTATAGCCATGGTAGAGATAGATTGCAATATGGAGTGAAGCATAGTCCAGATTGAACAAAAGGTAAGCTCATATTAAAACTCTAAAAAAATATCATATATCATGATCCTTGCCCTCAATTTTCTTTTGCATTAACTTTCGTATTTGGTCATAATGACAGCGGCCTTTCCGTCAGCCATCCACTCCAAACCTGCTGAAATCGACTGAAAAATTTCGCATCTGTACGAGTATGTGCCACATGTACATCTCTACTTAGTCTCCTGCAAACCGTCGTTAGGAGAATATTCACTACCCATCATTCAGGGCACCACACCTTCACATATAATCATACTTTAGATAGCCTTCAAACACGGAATTAGTGTAATAAGGAATACTCCTACAAATTTAGCTCACCGCTTCATAGGGAAGTTTCCTCAAACACAAGTTCAGTTACCTTGCATGCGTGACGGAGGGATTATTCATGCAGTCCGGCTGAAATGCCAATCATGACGTAAGGTGCAAATTCCATGCGGACTGATGAACTCATCTGGCTTGTCGTTAGTACTTTATTAAGCCAGCAACGTAAAGCAAAAGTTTAAGCCTGAACTAAATCAGCTACTGCATACGCTTCGTAACCGAGAAATCACTAGCCTTACGTGGAAGATGGTTCTTGTGACTAGATGTCACACGAAAAAATGCGTAAAATGAACTGAATCCGTGGCCCTTCAAGCAGGGAAACAGTATTCAAATATTGAGTTACGCTGCGCAATCAGATGATGAGATTAAGTCAAAAATAAATGCAGCAAAGGTCAGAAGCAACTTTCTAAGAAAGACACATCAAGCGGGAGAAGCGTTCAGAGTTTCCTGAGTTTGCCATGATGGGACATCTCTTATTACGTGGCTTTGAAGTCAACGCAACATATTGTTACCAGCCGAATGGCGCAGAGAGACAGCGATACGACCAAACATTGAATAATAGCTATGTAATATGACATGTGGACTGACTTTGATAGTGGAAGAGCAATATTAAAGCTTAACCTCTGCATTGCAGACAAAGAATCATTAGAATAAGTCTTAGATTCGTCGTTGACGCGTTCACAGGAAATTCTGCAGCAAATGCATTGTGTCATTTGTCATATATGCATTTACGAAAAAAATTGAATGCAGCACTATTTGCATATGTAAGATACCAGATGCAACGAAAGTGCAGCTACGCCTAAAATATTCAGTGTACCGATATCAGTGAAAACAGGGTTGGTTCATGTCTTAAACGCATGAAACAAAACTATGAAAGCAATGAATTTGTTTCATAAACGACTTAATTCTTGAAGTGGAACAATATTAGTCTCGAACGAATTCCATTCACGAAAAGTTAGGGAAAAGTTGAAATTTAACAAAGGCTAATAAGATAAGAGGGTCAAGAAAAAAATCCTGACGTCATCGTTTTTTGTCAAATCTGAAAGAACGATGGAAGTGATACACAAATCCAAAAATATGATAGGAACCTTCACATGTAAGAAGGGTATCATACCTATCGCTTATCCTGTAAATTATACTAGATCGTGTATCCTATAAATTGAACCTTTGTAGAAATCGGCCAAAAACTGGAAAACCAGAAGGTATTCCTGACTTCATGATCTTGTTTCAGAGCAACTATCTAAGAGGTGGCAAGCGGCATACTGATTTATGCACAGCGAGGTTCGCGCCGTGCCTTTTTGTGACCGTTTCACAGCATACGAGCAAGACGGCCATGCGGTTTAACGCATGTATTCTACGACTCTAATTTGCACTAGTACACATGATGGATGTAAAAAAGTGAGCATGTAGGATAATCCGCAAAAAAAATCAACAGAAACTGATTCTTCTTCCGCTGCGTTAGATGTCTATAATCAGCTCCATAGTTCAATCCGAAACCCTCGGATAATCGACAGTAAGGTCATAGGAGTTTTCACTTCTGCTAGTTATCACTAGCGATTCTCAGTTATCAGATGGGTACAAGCAAATTGTAGCTGAGAGAAAGACTGGCATCCTGGAACATGACAGTAAATATCATCCACTTCTGTACGACCACGCGCAAAAACTCTGCCGTACGATTTGAAGCATAATGACCTAGTACCTATCTTCTGCTGATACTAAAATACTGCATATTCGGTTCGGCCTTACCGCCAAGGCGGATATAGCACGTCAGAAAAGAACCCACGAGAACGGCACCACCACTGGGAACTTAAAATTGGAAATTGGAACATATTGTCACTAAGAGGAATAGAAAAAAAATTAGTTGATGAGGCCATAAAGTACATACTCAACATTGTTAGACTCTCGTCAACGAAACGACCAGGCTTGGAGTCCTGAACCTCAATGGATGGAAGTTATTCTAGTCAGGCGTCCATATCAGGACTCGCGCTCAGGCCAGTGTTGGGGTTCTGGTAGAACCCAACATTGTCGATAGAATCATCGATTGGAAGCCTATCAGAGGAAGGGTGGTAATCCTCTGATTGAAGCTGCAACAGGCTAATACGATTATCTTGTTACAGGTCTGTGCGCACAATTTCGAGGGAGAATATGAGACCTTCATTGATGAAGTGCAAGGTGCTCTGTCCGAAGTGCCGAATACAGGGTCCCTCATACTGATGGTCCATTTTAATGCACACGTCGGAATAGACGATGAAAAGTGTAACGGAGTCATTGGAAAAAACGGCCCTAGCCACCTCCACAATAACGGGATGAAGTTGCTGCGGTTTCATGCAAACAACGGATTGTCCATTATGAACACCTTCCTCGAGAATCGAAAAGTGCATCAGTACACCTGGTACCGGAAAGCTTCAGCACAGAAGTCCATGATTGATTTGATAATCGTATCGCCTCACTAAAGACGCTCAGAAATGGATGTTCGCGGTAAGAGAAGCGCAGAGCTATCGACCGATCACCACCTAGTTTTTGGGACGCTGCGCTGTAAGAAATGGAGTACCATACGAAGATCCGGTGGCAGAAGCAACCGGAGAATCAAATGGG